TGACACACACAACAAGGCATTTTTTCATGGTTAGCTTTCAGGAAAAGTCAGTGTAGTTGAGTAGCCATGGTGAAAGCCAAAGGAAACCCAGCAACTTTGAAGAGACAGTCTGAAAAGCCATTCTTGTATATAGGAAAGAGACTGTTTTTATGGACTCATAATAGTTCTGAATTTCCCATAAAGCATTTTGTCTTTTTTTTTTTTATGATAGCTGGAAGTATTTGTCAAAACATGATCCTCTCTATAACATTTTACAGTGAGTAATGCGAGTTGGAAATATAGCATGCCAGTAAAGAACTCAGGTTCCAGATTCAGGAATTTTCACAAAATTGGGCAATTAATTTTGACTCTTGTATGCCAGATGATCATCTGAGTACTGGGGATAGAACAGGTAAGAGACAAAATTCCTCACTCTTACAAAGCTTCCATTTAAGGGGTGAGCTAGACAACAGGCAGTGTAACTGAGTAAGTCATGTGGTGTTTCACATGGTGACGGAGATGGAGAAGTAAGCAGCTGGGGGTCTGGGAAGGCTGCTTTGTGGGGTGAGGCTGGAGTCCCATGGTGTAGGTTGGTTTCTAGTTCAATGGCAGAGTCGGGAAAATACTCATGAAATAGGGAAGTTTGTATAAAGAGCTGAAGGATGTAGGATAGCAAGCCATGTGGAATTTCCCAGGAACAAAAATTCCCTCCAGAAAGAAGAGAAATTCTGATGCTGTCACTTTCTGAGTTTGAGATTTTGAGCAAAGACTGATATCCTCTAAACCTTAATTTCCTCCCCCATACCTGCTCCAAGAAGTACTATGAAGAGTAAGTAACACATACGACAGATGTGTAATAAACGCTGGAGAAATGTTAGGTACAGTATTGTCATTTGTGAATTCAGAGTTTTCATTTCAGATCACTTTATCCAAAGCTTGTACCTGTCGATTGGCGCCCTGCAGGATACTTTGTTTGAGTTAGTCGGCTGTAATGAAAATATCTGTTGTTTCCAGGGATGTAAACGCCTGTCAAGTGCTCAATCATTAGATCAGAGAATCTGCCCAAGGTCTTTCTCTCTCTTTTAGAATGTGCCTTTTACCAAGGTTGATATGTACATGATCACAAGTATATTCATCTCCTCATCTGCACTCCTAATTCCTAGTCCTCAGAGGCAACTACCTTCAATTTTTTCAGCTATTTCTCTTCACATTTGTTTCATGTATCTAAGTGGCATGCTTTAATTGCTATTGCTGGATCTTTCATTTTTAAACGTTATTAATTTCTCACTATAAGAAATGAGAATTTGGCTTTTTGCCATCAGGTATGTATACTTTCATTTTTCATGTTGGAGACATGCTGAGTGCAGTTCAGCTCAGAACCCATGTGCTGCTCGCAGCGAGCTAGGCTGCCTGCACCTTTGCGGGCTTCAGTTCTTGCTTCAGGATGGTCTGAGGAGGGCATGACTTCCCCTGCTGTCAGAGAGCTAAGGCACGGGGTGGGGGGCAGCACCTGGAGGTGACTCTTCTATGCAATACCATCAGGGCAGACATTCCACAGAAAGCGTGCCAGGAATGTGTTCATGAGGGTTGCAGGATCTTGGGGGCTCATAGGTGGACCTCGAGTGCATGTGCTATTGTTTTGTAAAAATTAGCTGTGAGAAGCAGCATAGCTCCCGTGAGCCCAGGACAGCCAGTGGAAAGGTGGTCATCAGTTAGCCTGTAGCCCGCCTAAAACTAGATCACTGTGGTCTGAGGACTCATTGCCCTAAATTGTTCTGCACCATCTTCAGTTATGGGGAACAGAACAAAAGCACATGTGTGGGTTCTGTATGTGTTATCACCACTGTCTAAAAGTTAAGTCAATTATGGACTCTCTTTTATTTCAGTACGAGGGATTAAACCCAGGGCCTTGCACATGCTAGGCAAGTGCTCTGTCACTGAGCTGCATCCTTATCTAATTATGGGATTCTACAATATTTTTAGCTCACTAGGAAATGGATCCTTATTATAACATCTAAAGTTATTGTTGGGCAATCAAACATTCTTCCATCTTCCAGTTTTTTCATGTGTACCTTAATTCTTTCAAGAAGTATTTGTTGAAGATGTAACTTGTGTTACTTTTGGACCAGGAGTTGAAACTTTGAACAAGATGAATAAGAACTCTACTATGATGGAACAGACATGCTAGTGGGATGAGGCAATGCATAAACAATGAGTGGACATGGAAAATCCAGTAAGAAATACCACGAAAAAAGCAAATGGAATACAGTGAGATAGAGAGCCCAGAGAACTCACCATAGAGTGTCCAAGGAAGTCCTTCCTGAAGAGTTAATACTTAAGCTAAGGCATGAATGATAAGAAAGAACCAAGTAGGGGGAAATCTAGGGGAATCTTACTACAAGCAGTGAGAAGTTGGGTGCAAAGGGGTTTGTGAGGCTGGTACATGTAGAGGATCCAAAAGCAGATGTGTTTGAAGTGGCAGGGCAAACAGAAAAAAAAAGTTTCCAAGTCTGGCAGGGCCAAATACTGAAGGACCTCAGAGGTCATGCAAGAGGATTTTGTGTTTTTTCACTTTAAGAGTCACTGAAAGCCATTTGAGAATGCTCAGCAGGATAGGACATGAACTTCTTTATATTTTTGAGGATTCCTTTGCAGTTTTCATAGAAAATGTGAGCAGGAGTAAAGACAGGGAAATCGTGTAGGATGACATTTCTTTAGTCTATACTGAGAAATTGGAGTTGAAGAAAAATAGGCAGATTTGGAAAATTATGTGGGTATAGGATTAGTTGATAGGTTATATTGATAAGGAATAGGAGAGGGCAGAGGAAAGGTGAACTCCGTACGGGCTCCTAAGTGTAGACGGATACGCTGGATGGGTAGAGGGGCCACTTTCTGATTATATCTGAAGCTAACTGCATAGAGTTGCTTATAAGCAGTGTAATCGAAATCATCCTTTCCAGAGTTTAACTATAGATGTATACCACTCAGATTCTTTGTGTTTCATTAGTGGTAATTTTTGCCTTTTTTCTGTTTTTAAATATTGTTTGGTTAAATCATTTTTTGACAAACAGAAGAGCCAGAAAAAAGTTTTTTCCTCATGTTGTGCCATCTGCTGCCTTTTAATTCCTTTCTCAAACATTCTCCAGGGACCACCTCCTCTCTTAGATGTCAATTTTGCTGTTGGAGAGACGATGACATCCCAGGTGTTGACACTGACCCGGCATGTGGCCATCAGTATTGGCTTACTGGGGACTTCATTTGGCACCATGGAGACTATTTAGCAGTGCCTTCGTGGGGCTTCCGAGAATGGGCTGCCTTCCTACCCTCTTCTGCGGAGCTCATGTTGAATTTCTGAATTCTAGTTTGTGATACCATCTTGTGATACTGTATCTGCCACTCAACTGATTTACACACTATTTGTGATTTAAAAATCACATAAGAAAGAAACCAAACTGTCTGGTTGATCGACACGATCCCTTGTCTTTTCATGATAGATCCTGATCTCAGAAGCATGCCTGCCTCTTTATTGTACCCTGGACTAGGAAAAGGCACTGTTAGGGGAAATGGAAATTGTATACCATCATTCCTGTGTGGATGTCAGCAGCCAGATGAATTAGTGTAGTCCTTAACACAGAGCCTGAAGGGGCTTATTTGGGCACTCAGTGAAAGAATTCCTTACAAGCAAAACTATTAATCCAATTTTAAAATATAACTCACTGCTGTAGAAATGTAGTTTTTCAGAATTATCGATTCTTATTACAATGAGACAGAACAATATTATACAGGAAAAAAGGTTCAGGAAAAATATTATGCAGGAAAAATTGAATGCCTTATAAAATGTTTTTTATCATTTCTTTTGATAGTAAAAATATGTCCACTGTAGAAAATTGGAAAAAATACATAATGTTATAAAGAAGATTTAAACTGCTTGTAACCCAACTAGGGGAAGACAACTATTATTACTACTATTGCATAATTCTTTGATCATTTATTTCCATATATATTTCTATAAGTATATATACATGTATCTATATAAAATATATAATTAATATGTATGATTATATGAAGAGCTTGATAATTTGCTATCATAGTATTTAAGCTATTTTGCATCCCTCTTTTCCATATAATTGCAGGCACGCTGGAGAATTTAATGACTGCATTATGCTTTCTGTAACAGCATATATGTTTCTATTTCCCCATTGGGGGCTTTTAGATTGTTCTATTATTTTTAGAAATTAGAATTATTTGGCCGTAATAAGTGAAGCTGAAATGACAAGCTATATAAATACATAGTTAACTGGTTATTCTGGTTATTACCTTAACATTAGTTCCTAAAATGTAATGATTTGGTTAAAATGTATGGACATGTGAAAGATTCTTTTACATATCATTAAATAACTTTCTAAATGCATAGAAGTATGATATTTTTGTTAAGTTTTTCAACTTAATCTTTAAATATAACTTTGGTTTACCTTACTTTATTTATTGGTTAGATTAAACATTTAATCATATGTTTATTTTGCATTTCTTTTTCCATAAATGGCCTGTCTATGCCTTTAACTCATGTTTCTGTTAGTGTTTTTGTCTTGTTACAATGTTAATATTTTAATTATTGGATGGTAAGATGAATATACTTTTCTCGTATTTGTTTTAAATTTTTTTCAGTCTTTGCTTTAAATTTTTCCTCAACAACATTGATGTGTGTAAGTTTTGAGATTTATATACTAAAACTTTTTCTATTTCCTTTGCAATTTCACCATCCCATATTTTTATGCTTAGAAGACGTAGAACTGTGAGAAAAATTTGCTTTTATGCTTTATTTAAAAATTTAGTGGTTAGAATTTATTTGATTTATAATTTTGGATACTGAAAAATTGAATTTCATTTAGTTAAATTTAGCAAATAGCCTTAGCATCATTTGTTGAAAAATCTGACCCTTCGTGAAATTTCTTTTACTCATTTGTGGGTTTTTTTGGTACCGGGGATCGAACTCCGGACCTTGCGCTTGCGAGGCAGGCGCCAGAACCACTGAGCTACATCCCCGGCCGCTCATTTGTTTTTATTACTGTAGTCATCACTACCAGTGATTATTACGTTTACGATGCATTATTGTGCAGCAAATCCACACCCACCCTGGGAGCCGGGCGGGTCGCTCCAGCTCCTGTTCTGTTGACTCTTGCCTGTGAGCACCTGGCTGCATTTGTTTCAGGGTGAGTGTGTATACACGTGGTCATTTTCCCGGTATGTTTAGCCATTCTCTCAGTCTACTAGAAGAGTAGTTCTGACAACCTCGTTTATTTTTCTCTTTGGAATTTCAGTATTTTACACTGAAAATTATTACTATATTCCCAAATATCTGCCAGCTTATATTCTTCCAATAAAATATATGTCTGTATTCCTTCCTAATTACTTTTAAGTTCTTGTACAAAATTATTCTGTCTTATCCATACTATCTCATTGTTTTTGTTTAAAAATTTTAGATCTTTTATAACTCTAGTTATTTGGATTACGGCTTTTTTGATTGTTCCTTGACCAGGTTTTGCATATATATCGGTGTGCACCTGTGTGCATATCTGTGTATTTACTCACTTGTATTCATCCATAAACACACAGACATGAGATCTATCATAGGAAACTGGCTCACGTGGTTTGGGAAGGTGAGAGCCTCACCATTCCACGATTTCCTGCGTGTAGCTGGAGCCCGGGGAGCCCGCGGTGTAGGTTGCAAGCGGCAGAGCCGTGGGCTGAGGAGACTCCTAGCAGGGCCGGCCGCCTGAGAACGCCCGCCTGCGGGACTGCAGGAGACAGCGTTCCAGCTCTCTCTGCTCTGCTCAGGCCCTCCAGGGCCTGCATGGTGTGGCCGGTGGAAGACCGGGTACTGGCTTGTCCTGGCGCACGATTCCAGGGTCACTTTCGTCTGGGGCAGACTTACAGACACAGCCGTAAATAAGGTTTAGTCTGCGGTCTGGTTGGCGCATGTTATTAGCATCACAGTGGAAGAAACATTACTTGTCAGTATCACTTCCATCCTGTTTCCTTATGTATTTAAATATACCTTTTCTCATTATGTTTCCAAGAGCAAAAGTTACTGAAGATGTCATTTTCTCATTTCTAACACATCTGTTTCATGTCCAATACAACTGGATAACATTTCTAGAAAGTCATGAAATAGTAACAACCAGAAATGTATTTTTTGTCTTGATTTTGTTGGAAATACATCTTTTTTCTCTTTTTGTATTATTTAAAATATCAGTTATTCAATTGTCTTCCTAGAAAGTATCTCCAAAATATAAAAAGTCTACTAAAATTCATTATAAGCCATTTTAGTTTCTACTTAATTTGTCACTTTTTCTTTGATCTGTCCTATAATATATTGGATGAGAAGATTCTTTAAATGTTAAGCTATCCCAGTATTCTGATATATTCCTTCCAGTGCAGGGCGGTTGTTTTTCTTTGTTTGCTCTTATTATTGAAATCGGTTTATTTATATTTTATGCAGGTGTTCATCGATACTTAGAAATTTGCTGGATGTAGAGGAAACAGACTTCAGGCTGACCACACTTTAATTTTGTGACAGTGAGAATTTCTGTGTGAACAGTGTCATGCGCTGGTAGGTTTGGTCCTTCGCACTGTGTGGGCGATGATGGAAAACGAGCAGTATGGGAGCCCTCTGAGCGGAAGCCGTTGCGCCTGTATCTCCATGCTCTGTGCTTCGTGTCTTTTTGTTTGGTACTGGGGATCAAGCTCAGGACCTTGTGCTTGGAGCCCTGTCTTCTTTTTATTGCTGCTTTGATTCTAATGTTGGTGAGGGAGTTATGCTTCGTGAGGTATTACCTAGCTGAGTTTTTGTTCACTGAATCAAATTATGTAGCATGGCCTTTAAACTTTTGAGAAGGGTTTAGTAAGTTTTATTTTTTTGGATAGCTTTTAAAGTAATTTTTTATAATCATTAGACTATATTTTTTATTCAATTTTAATTTTGAATTTTAAATTGTATTTTAAAAAATTTTAACATAATAACCTACAATATTTCCTGAGATAACTTGTCTCTTATAATTTAGTTTAAAATAATTTTCGTATGTGCTTTTCCATTTCTGAGTTAGTCATTTCCTGTTTTATTAGGTTTCACTATTATTATTTTTCAAAGAACTCAGAGCTTTTATTCATTCTGTTGTCAAGATCTCATATTGTGATATTTAATCTTTCAGTCCTGTCGTATATATTACTTTTTTTGTCATTGACTTTGTTCAGGCCTGAATCGTTGTTTGTGTGTGTGCATATGTGTGCATATGTGTGTGCATGCATGTGTGTGTGTGTGCGTGTACGTGTGTGTGTGTGTGTGTGCTGGATTTCCAGAATCTTTTCAACCTTTTCCTTTAGGCCGAACTCTACATTCCATGTCAGTTTTAAGGCCCAGACACAGTGATAACATTCATCCGTTTGTCCCAGTTCTGCAGCATGGTCCTACCCACTCCTGCTTTGAGTGCTGCCTGTCTGTCCCCCTCCATCCTGGGCTCTGTGTGTCACGACTGCTGGACCTTGGATGCCTGCCTGTCTCTGCGTGTCCCCTCTGGGCCTCCTCCTTCTGCTGTCGCCACACCCACAGCCCTGCTATCTGCAGACAGCCCTGTGGCCTCCCGGCAGAAGCCTCTTCAGCATGCCAGGGCTTCCTGACCTCCTTCACAGAGGTAATGCTTCTTCCCACATTCTTGCATTCAGCCTTTTTTATTTTTTCTATTACACTGCTGATTTTTTGGAGTGTCTTTTTTAGAAAATGTTTTTTCATCTTTTATCCATTGAAAGTTAGGAAACCAACAGTAATAATGCAGTAAGTGCCTCTATCGGGTGTTTACCGTACTGCATTCCCTCACTAGGCCTTGGCTTGCTTCTTGAGAGCAGAACTGGAGTCAGAAAACATCACAGTTGTGCCATCAGTGCATGATCAAATGGAAGTCATTATAAATAATCTAAATGCTTTTCATGAATATGCATCGCATCTGTTGCTCAAGTAGATGAGCTGTGTAATTATGAAGCATGGTTACCTTCTCTTTTAATAATATTTTTAATTTAAAAATTTGTTATTAATATATATTTGGAATACACAATGAATATATTCTTGGTGGGGGTATTGATACCTGTATCTATAAATATAGATATATCGATATATATGCAACACATACCTTTATCTAGTGAACTCTATGGATATAGATGTCTCATCTTGATTCTTTTTATTTCCTCAATACATAAAACTAAATGATAATGCTGGTGTGTAATGCAGAAGTACCTATTTTATGTGGCACGCTGTGTCTTACCCCATCCCAGGAAGGCTAAGTTGCCAGAGTAGGCTAAGTACGCAGAGTAGCTTTAAGGACATACAGGTTCTTACAGCCCAGGTAATGCTCTTGAAGTGACTGTGGCTTGGTGTGTTCCTGGTGGTCCCTCCAGAGCTCAGTTTCTTCTACTCTTATGTCCTGACTCCACCTAGGACATGAACCCTTCATTGTTCTTGCTAGAAGAGGGCAGAAAGACAGAAAAGAGGGAACATTGCAGCCTCAGAAATGACACATTCTCCTTCTGCATACATTCATTCTAGGAGACCTAGTAACACGGGAAAACCTGCCCTGGGAGCTTTAAAGTATAGTTGGCAGCTGCAGAGCAGTGCAAGTGAAGAAAAGAATGAAGCCCATGGTCCACTAGCAGCTGCTGTTATGAACAGTATCTCTACTAAACAAAATCATAATTTGGGTGTTGTGTAGCAAAAACAACTCTAAAAAGATGTCAGCACAGAGAGCGTACCCTTGGTTTTATTTTAGAACTACCAGTTAGTTGGGACTTACAGGAAGAAAAGATATTACTTGTATTGTTTATATAATGTGCCTGGATGTGCTTTTGTTGAATCATTTGGGTAAAATCAAAGCATTGAGTAGTAGTTTTCACCTTGGGGAATTAAGATACTTACTTTTTAAAATTTTACCTCATTTTTCACATTCAGTCTCTATTTTAACATGAAGTCATCTGACAGAATGGCTAATGTTTCTCTAAAACTGTCTCATTTGGAGAGTTTCTCTAGTGAGCTTTAGTATGAATGAAAAGAATGATTCTACAAGATCCATCACCATCACAGTAAAGGATGGAAGGCTGTGTGCAAGGAAAGGTGGACAGGGATGGTGGACAGTGTGCTGGGTGAGGAGAGGCTGGGAAAGCAGAGGTGTAGGGATCTCAGCAGCCACCGTCACCTGAGCCCCAGATGGGCCAGAATTTGGAGCTACTGGATAGCTGGTGGGTTTCCCCACTCTAAAGAGGTTGTAGCTGAACAGTTGCATAGATAGCGCATTATCTTTCTTCCATAACGCATAGCTTCTTGAGTGTGGCTTTGTGTGCATGCACATTAAAAGTGTTTCCTATTTTTGCATTTTACATACGATGTTTCAGTGTGGTAATAAAAAGAATTGGTGTTCAAAGCATGGAATCACATGAGGATAGTTTTCTAGTGACTAACATGACAGGAACTTGAGACCAAAGTTTCATTCTGTAAACCACTGTCATGATATGTATCTGAGACAAACACGTAAGCACATTAGATTCTATAGAAACCTTCTGCAGTACACAAAGAAGCTGGGGTGAGGAGGAGTAATTCACACATGTTCTGTGGATCTTTAAATCTACTGTGCTTAAAATTCAATGTCACTCTTACTATTATGGCTCATAACATTTTTTATAAAATTCAGTATCGCCATATTGCTAAAATTGAAGGTTATTATATCTTAAAATTTGGTTAGCTTATATTTGATGAATCATATTTGTTATGTATCTCTACTAAAAGAAAATAATAATTTGGATCTTGTATATTAAAAACTACTCTAAAAAGATGTCAGCCCAGAAAATATACACATAGCATGTAGAATACGTAATTTTTTTCAGAAATTAAAGAGATTAACATTTTCATGTCACTAACATTCATAATCAGTGATTTCTACCATCTGTAAAGACTTCTCATATGACTGAATGCTATGACTTATTTTAAAACTTTTGCATAGTGAAATATATCAAATATTTATTTTAAAATGAGATTATATAGTGCTGTATGTTGGGTAAACTCAGATCTAAGGCATGGTGGAATGTTGGCTGTCAATTGTGGAAGAAATTATTGCTTGGATAAAAGCTTATAGAGTGTACCACAAGTGTCCCTTTTCACCCCTCAAATTTTTTGATTATGAGATTCAACTTATCACTAATGTTTTTTCAAACACTTTAAAAAAGTGAAAATTATTTCATTATGGTTTTCAAGGATAATATGTGATTCTTAATGTAAAATAAGTAGCAGTAAGTAATTTACAGGTGCTCTTAATGAATTTGAATACAAAATATTTTGCATAATGTTGCAAACTGACTTTAATAACAATGCATTATGTAAATGAAATTTATATTTTATTCAATATCAGCAGATTTTTTTTGTATGTGTGTATGTTTGGGGACATATTCAATAAATTTTTATTGTGTGAACATAAATATAAGAATCTTTTCTACACTAAAAATGTCAACTTCATACAGTGTGATTCATATCATTGTGTAAGACTTTGACAACTAGAATTTTATAGCATATATTGACAGTTAATCTTGATCATTTGTGTAATGTATTTAATTTGAGCTATAAGCGTTCTAAAAGTTAAAGCAAAAGATTATTTTTTTGAAGAAGAAAGAAAGAACAAAACAAAATATGTAGATGTAGTTGAACTCTATCCGTATCTTTTGGCTGCAAGTAAAGTAGTACCCTAAAAACATGGCTTCAGTAAGAGATATGTAGCAATGAAAATGTAGTAACAAAAAAAATTGTCATTATTTCTGTAATTCTGATAACCCAGTTAATAGTAAAGTTTTTCAGTTAACAGTAAAAGTAATTCATTTGCAAACAATTCATGTCTACTAGTCGTAAAATTAGACCAGACATTCAATGCAATATAAAGAAAGGAAAATGAGCCAGTTACAAATAACATTGGCACCCTACCTTAGATCACTATTGAAGCTGAGCAACAGCTTCCTGTTGTGTCTTGATATTTGGTCATTTTTAGCAGTCTGTATTTCTAGATAAGTGAGGTAAATACAACTCATTCTGTTGATTATCTATCCATGGTCTGTCTGCCTATTGGATTTCTCAATATCACAGGTGCAACTAGGAAACTACTTTAACTTTTAAATTCACAACGCTTGATTCAGTTTTAAGTGAGAGAAAAAACTGAGATTGTATTCACAAAATGGATTTTCAAAATACCTTAATTGCTTTTGTTTCTTTTAATAAATTTACTCACATAGCAGTGTATGAACATTTTTATGTGCATATTTACCCCCAAGCCCTATATTCTGGGTGCCTTTTTTTCCTGAACAATGTCAGAAGGTTTGGAAGTGATTTCATTTTTTACTCAGGCTTCATGAAAGGACATTGAGCCCTGGTAGGATGACAGTATAGTTTTGTATAAAATTTGCTTCTGATTAGCAGGAACAAAGTTTGGCCTCCTACAGCTTTGGTCTTTATCTCCTATCAGTTATTCTGGTAATCCTGCTGAAATAAGTGTGCTTTAATAATTTTTGATGCATTGATCTTTAAAAGGAAAAAAAGAGATGGTTTAGATGGAATTGTCATTATTCAGATTTTACATGTTAATTTTCTCAGAAAGTTTAACTTGGAAATAGTTAATATTTAGCTTGGAAGTATTCAGGTGTAAACTTTAATTTGATAGGAAAATGATCTTGGATACTGAGTGTGAAAAGCACTTGGCAGCGAATCTCTGAATTCTACATTGGAGACAAATATACTTCTGTGATTTAGGAACAACTACTATTCTAAGAAAGTACAAGAAAAATTTTTTTGGCTTGTTGAGCTATATAACATTGCCTTTTTATTAGTTGTATAGAATAAAGGATTCTACCAATCAGAGGACATTTTTAGTTCACCATGGCCTCTTTTTAGTGAGCTTGGCAAAATGGTACTAGGAGAGGGGGACTAGAGTTCTTTCCTGGGTTTTTCTTTATAGTGACTTGCCCACATGAGCCAGGGAAAAGTGAAAATCCATTTGATGCAGACCAATGAGAGTAAAAGACTCTCAGTAGAAGAGTGGCATTTTAAAAAACAGGCAGTACAAATGGTTAATAAATTGATGAAAAAGTTTAAATTCATTCATAATAACACAGGCAGATTAAATTTTTTTGCCTGTGAAATTCTCCAGGACAAAGCGTGCTGTACAGTGTTGATGAGGAACATAGGGATCAGCTAGTGAAAGGAAAGGTACATACAAGCTCTCCAATTTAGAGTTTGCAGAAATTAAACATAAACTTTTAAAGTGTTTATGGTTTTAAATAAAAGTGTTTCATTTTTAGGAATCTTGTCTAAGTAAAAAATAGAAGCATGCATATTGGTTGTTTATAAATCTCCATCTATAAAGTATTTTGTTACTATCACATGATCCTGTATTTTGTGGCCATTAAAATAATATTTTGGAAGGCTGTTAAAGAATTGAAATATACTCGGTACATAATGTCAATGAGAAACAACACCAAGTATACATACCTTAGTGTCTATGCCTATAAAAATATTTTTCCATAGGAAAAGTAGAGGGAAATAAACATGGTACCAGGCCCATGATTTTTTCTGGGAGGCTGAATTTCCAGAGACAAACACGTTACCTGTAGTGAATAAGGGAAATTGCTCATAATCAAAAAAGTGAAAACTAAATGCAAGCAAATAAATAGCCCATTTCCTACCTAGAGCATGTGGAAAGAAAAGGATAAAGTATATAAAGTTAATTTTTGAGGGGATTGTCCACAAATATGGGCAATTTAGTAAAAAGAAAAATCAATTTGTTAGTCCATTCTTTCAGAACAGTAAAACATTTTGTCAGTTGCCCCAACTAAAATGATTCCTTAATTGACTGTATTGATGAACTGCTTTGCAATTGCGGAGAGAGACATGGTTTTGGAGAAAAAAACATTGCTGACAAATACTTAGTGAAACTTAGTAACAGGCCGCAATGGGAAATCATTAAAATGAATTCTCTTGCTTCATTGGGACAATACATTGTCATGCAAATTGTATCGATTTACTAAAAATATCTATTGGTCTTCCCTTTAGTGAGCTCATATATTAAAGTTTTCGTATTATGAAAGTCAGCATGCAGTGTTTCTGATATCGTTTGAATGAACAACTAAGCTGCTTAGACTATACTGTAATTATTGGATCATCTTTATATTTCTATCATTACACAAAAATCTGTTAATTAATTACATGAACTGTTTTCTATCCCTAGTGGGCACTTACAAGAACAGTGGGCAGTTCAGCCCTTTGTCCCTGAGCTGCTTTGATGGTGGTTTGCATGTGTGACATCCAGCAGACATAGCTGATTCAGTCTCAGTCTGCACTGACACACATGGTGTATGGGGCAGCTCACTTCGGCCTGTGGCGTACTCAGGGTTACTTCACAGTAACAACGTCTTACGAGTGGTATCTTCACATAGCGCCACCATTTCAAACCTTAAAGGAAGATGAGAAAATCAGGATTCATTGGTGAAAGCTGGCACTGTTGAAGGGATTAATTCCAGCTTGGCCACACCATGTCCTTTCCTGTCCTTGCTCCCTTGAGTCTCTGCATCCCCGATTTGTGGTGCTCTGCGGCTCCTGCTCTTAATCATTGCAAATACACTGAAGGTCAAGAGCTCTGAATGACAGAACTTTAGAGGGAGACAGTCTTACTGAAGACCTCCCTATTCCTAAGGAGCTATCAGAAGCCCAGGGAATTTATGGAAATTGTGTAAGGTCAGGTGTAGTGGTGACAAATGAGAATTAGACTTGCG